TGCTTCATGACTCATTGAGTAAAACCAATTAGATCTTCAAATTTACTCAGTTGAATTTTGCTTTTTAACATAAGATGTGATTTGTTACTGTAAACAGAGCCTTATTCGAACACTGTTTAGTAATAGTTTGTCTGGTTGCCTCTTGAGCATTGGGTGCAAGGGGATTCCATTTTAGACAGTGAACCATTCCTTAAAAGCACATGGACTGTGCCCTGTGGGCAGTGTTCGTGGCAGAGGGTGCAGAGGGGAGCTGTGTCAGATATTTAGTAGATGTCTTGTTCTCATGCCTCCTACCTTGTCGTGTGGAGAAGACATGGGTGCTGAAAGCTATTAAGAATCTGTGTGGTAGTTTAATGTTAGATGTGATTTTAAACCTATGGACTTAATAGTAGTGTATCAAAGGGTGGCAAAGCCTATGGAAGAGTTTGTTTTCTGGTGTTACTGAGGGAAAAGGCAGCTTTCACATTGATGTGAGGTTGGCCTTCAAGGATTGGGTTAAGTCGGCAAACTCATTAGTCAACAGAGCCAAGTATCAACAGTACAACGATTGAAGTTTCTTTTGAGAGCCAAAATTTTTAAACTTAAACTATTTAGGTAGGTACATTGTTATTAACTTAATTTAGGGGTACTCCTAAGGCTTAGGAAGAGCCACACTCAAGGGGCCAAAGAGCCGCATGTGGCTCGCGAGCTGCAGTTTGCCGACCACGGGGTTAAGAAAACAGCTCTTTGCAATAATTCAGCTGTAGTTCACATGTTAACTTACTTGATTTTGATGAAACACTGAAGTAGATTGGTGATAAGAACTGTGGCCCACCGTTGAAATGATTTAAAGGCACTTACTAGTAGTACTGGTTTACTGAGATGCAAACCCAAGTTTTTGGATTATGAGGTCCAACTCTGTTATCATAAGCAAGTCAGTTAGGGAAGCTGGCTTTGGCAAGGGAGAATAAAAGATGGTTCTGAACAGATAATTTGGATACCTGTTTCCTGTTGCCTCAGTGAATGGAGGCTAGCCATGATGGTAAGGCTTGATGTTGGGGCCTTTACCCAGGTGGTTAAGCTTCTGGGCACAAAGGGTTCCATGTAAATCTGGTTTGGGCATAGCTCTTGAACCTGACATAATGTTGTTGCCTTATATGGTGTCAGAAATACAGGGAAAGTTTAGTTATCAGTATTTATGACTATTAGCAGGAACCAAATACGGCTTCTTTCAGCTTTCATCAGGAAAATGATTTCCAGGTGGAAAATACAGTTAGCCTGCAGTTTTTTTCTTTGGAGTTGTCTAGCCTTTGCAAGAGGTAGAAAGCTGTCTGAAAAGCTTACAGAACTTTCTTAAAATCTGCTTAAGCAGGGCCACATACACAGTTAGCCTGCTTGCAAACTCTGGTCAGGAATGGAAACATGGGTAGAAAACACTACTTGTTAATTTGTGTTCAGTTATAGGTCTTGCATTGAAACAAGAGATAATATTATTGTCAGTCTTTATGCTGCTTTTCAGACTTTTTTAAGGGCTGGGAAAAACATTTATGAAATCCTCCTGGAGTGGTGGTAATGTTTTAGAACTCACAAAGAAAGCAGTCAGGGAAACCAATGGACCCATCTTCATGCTGCCTGGAGGTGTGAACTCTTCTTATGCAGAAGCCAGGGCAGCTCAGAGAATTTCTGGGTGAGCCAGAGGTGAGACTTGAATTTAGGCATCTTTGCTCAAAATGAAGCTCACTTGTCAGAGGACAGTTTAAGATTAGGGTTTACAGACCTAGCAGGAGGAGGAGGTAAGTGGGATAAAGGTCCTCTTCTGTTCTTGTTTCCATCTCTTCTCCAGGCCATTTATTTAGAGCTAGTGGTCCGGTGCACGCATTCATGCACATTGAAAGGAAATTAATTAGAAGAAAGATTCGTGTGGTAATTACGTTACTGCAAAAAATTACATGTCAAAATAGTATATATAATACAGTATTATAAAATTAAAATACATTGTGGGATTGGTGCCAGCAAGAGCTTTCTATGTATCGCGCATGTGCAAGTCAGTGTTTATTTTTAAATTGCCAGTGTGTGTGTCATATGTACCGGCCGGTCGGACGGACGGACAGTCACTTAGCCTTTTATATATAGAGAGAGATTCCCCGGAAAGATGGTGTGGCTTTTGATGTTTTTTTCATCAATTTGATCTTCAACCTTCCTCCTGTTTTTGTCTTACCTACTCTAACCCAATTTGTATGATCTATGCTTTAATCTGTACTTATTTTTTTAATAGCTAATACTATTAAAGTTTTACAAGTTCATTTCATTCAGACCAGGTTTTAAATGTCCCCTGACAGTTAAATCAGTTCAACCTTAAAGCCACTCCCATGTAATAGCACATATTATTATTAATTAAAGAGGTCATTTTTTTCTTATACCAAAATAAATTCCATCAAGATCAAGTACTTAAGTATAGAAAGTATAACCATAGCAGCACTAGAAGGAAATTAGAAAACGGTTTCTATAATTTTTGAGTGTTCTAATTCTGGCCCAAAAGCCAGAACATAAGAACAGTATTCTTTAGCTTGACCACATAAAAACTTAGTTATGCACAGCAAACAGCTATAGCAAATAAGGTTGAAAGACAAATGGCAAGCTGGGAAAACGAGGGGAAAGAGTCAATATTTGTCATATGGGAAGAATTACTACAAAAAGACAATGATAAATACCAAAGGAAAAACAGAGAAAGAAAAAAAAAATACGGAGGGTCAATAAATAAATGAAAAGATGTTTAATTTCAGGAAGAATCTGAGTGATGCAAATAAAACTGAGATAACGTTTTACTCTATTAGATGAATAAAGATTTTTTAAAAGGTCAACAAAACCCAATATTGACATTGTGGGAGAGCATGTACCCTTATAGACTGGCAATCATATAAATTGGTAAGCTTTTCTACTGGGCAGTTTATCAGCATGCATTCCAATTTAAAATATGCATACACTTTGACCTAACAGATTCACTTCTAGGGGTTTCTTTTAGAGATCTTTGTAGAGGGTTATCTGACACAGAATTTATAAATGTGGCAAATTAGATGAAATATAAATATCCACTGATATTGGGTGCTTAAACACAAGTAGGCTTGTATTTATTGAGTGGGAGAGTGTCCATGATACATTTTTGAATAACACATAGAAAAGCAGTATATATAGTGGGGGCCCTTGATATAAATAAAAGTCTCTCCACTCTGGGCTTCTGAGTGCCTCAAATGATGCTTCCCAGAATCACCACAGTGTTACCTCAGGGTTATCCCTGGATGAGAGACCTAGAGTTATTTTATTTTTCTATATACATATCTGTGTGTACTTCAAGTGACTATTAATCATTTTTTTAAGATTGGGAAACCTTAAGTGTGAATTTTGGAGAAGGGGAAAGTGTGGAATGCTGTTTGGATGTATCGTAGATAGGGAGTGGGGGGCAAGGACTACGAGTCCACCAAGGGCATTCATCCTCCTTTACACACACACACACACACACACACACACCACCCACCCTCCCTAACCCTGTTGTGCTGGTGCTTTCTAGGAGAGTTATGACCTTGAGTTAGATTGATCGGGTGAATTGGGTATGGCTGCCCTGTACTATTTTTACACCTGGTGCAGCTGCACCCTTTTTCCATATGTCTGTTTGCCCTGCTGGTTAAAGCAAGGTCTATACCAGTCATTTCCTCTTCTAGTACTACATTTCTAACAAGGCCCCGGCTGGAACCCTATCTCATTGGTAGTCAGGGAGAATTGAGTTGGGTTGACCCCAATCCAATCCCATCCAAACGAAGGCCTTGTTACTCATTGTTAACTAGAATCATCTTAGAGGACAAAAAGCAGCTCTTGTTTGATATACTTCATTATAGGGTTTCTGAGGTTTCTACTTTATCTTACTTTTTCCAGTCTCTGTTTCTCAAGGGCATGGCTATGTGCTTCATAATTTTCTTCCGCTCATGATCCTTTTCATTACCTAATCCACTATCAGGCGGCATTAGTAAGTAAGCATTGATGGAAAATGATGGAATAAATAAGGTCAAATCCGGGACTCTTTTAGATGACTTTTTTCTTTTTTTTTTTTTTCCTTTTAAAGGCAGAACTGGTTCCTTGAAGTTAGAGGAAAGGAAGGCAGAGTTGCTTTGCATTTTTGTGCAGGGTGTTGGCAATGGGGCAGGCAGGTGGATCCTATCCTATGCTGGAAGCAGAAGCACCCTTTTTCCCCTCCCTTGCCAGTCTGTCCCTTGTAGCAGAAGGATCTTGTGGATTTGGAGCTGGGCAGAGACTCTTCCTACTTTCTTTACAACAGCTTGGGTCACAGACACTCAGGACACGTTTCGTTATGTCCAGCTGAACTGTGGACCCTGTACTGAGGTCTTCATATTTGATGCTGAATTGTGTTGAAACTTTACAGATACTCAGAACATCTTGATGTGACTGTCCCTCTGGACTCGAGTTCTGTTTTAATATTACGTATTTTCTTGGCTTGTTTGCAATTTCGAGACTTAATGAAAGCTACTAACATTAAAATACTGTTTCAGTTGTGAAAGAGTTGGGACAAGTGGAAAGAGGCTGCTCTCGCTGTATAGACCTTGTATGGAAAGCTCAGTTGCTTTGATGCTGTTTCTGATGCTAGCTTGAATGAACTTGCTGTAACTACATAAATGTGCCCGGTACACCATAATTGAATAAGTATTCGAAGGGGTTTGCAATCACCAGGTTAAATGATTATATAGCCTTAAACCACGTAGATTTTCCAATTCAATTAAAGTGCTCATTATCTCTTATTTAAGTGACCAATAAAGCGTGCAGTTATGTCTTACTTTGCAAGTGGGATTAATATCTACTGTTTATCTCAAGATAAATATTGGTAAGGTAGCTGGGAAAAGCAATTTTTTGCCCTCAAGAGAGATAGTGGAGGGCTAAAGTGGTGGGTGTGAAGTTTTATCTTTCTGAACTGATTATGAAGTATACTAAACATTTATGTGGCTTTGTCTTTATAGACTGAAATCGCCAAGAGATTGAATACGATTTGTGCACAAGTCATCCCATTTCTGTCTCAGGAAGTAAGTAAAACTGTTCAGCTGTTAAAGTGCAATTATGTTGCTTCTCTGTTTGCAAATTAGCTAGTTTTAAGATGTTAATTTTATCACAAGGAACAAGTGTGAAGAACATCTGTTACAGCTGTGGTGTATACACCCCTGCTATTCCATCTAACAGAACTGAGGGCACACTGTAGAAGTGATGGCAAAAGCTCAACCTCAAATTAATTTTTTTCCTTTGGAAAACTGCAAAATGACTATCAAACATATAAAGCTTATTTTAAATTAAATTAATTTATAAGTTTAATTGCTACTGATGATTCCAAGTGTCCTTTCTCTAGAGAGCTTTTCTTATTCTGAATTTTAAAAATGGGTCCATTAGGGTTGACTTGACCATGGAAGCAGGTATTTCATTTGTACTTGTATAATGTTTGACTTAGTGCTGTCCATGGAGGGAGTGGGTGCCAGTACTCTTAAGGATAAACTAAGTGTTCATGTTACTTTAACTTATGGATATATATATATATATATATATATATGCGCCATTTTTATTAAGATTCAAAGCCACAGAGGTTTAACTGTAATATTTTGAGAGAGAAAAGCTCTTTATATGACTAATTTGTGAGATTGACTCAAAACCAGTATGTTTTAGTTTGACCTTAAAGTTTACCTTACTTTTGGATACAAGCTTATAAATGCTAAACAAGGATGCACATATCTTGAGATAAAGTTTGTTGGACTGGGAGCTGAAATATGGGCTGTCCGTTTAGTTGTCATCAGCTGCTCCATACCCAGCCATCTCTGCTCTTCTAGCAGCCTCTTCCAGCGTAACATGTACTCCATGTTCAGTAATCCTGGTCTCTGCTGTGGTCTGTCCCATGCCTCTGAAAGCACAGGTGTGGCTTTGTTTTTACTTGTGGGTGGAAGTTGGGAGGTGGGTAGAGTGTTTCTGGACTGTGAACTAAGAGTGGGTCTTTCCCTTGTGGAGGGTTAACTGTCTAAAGAAGATGAATTACCATAGTTTCCAAAAACTACTTGAATGTTGAGATGTGTTGACCAGAGAACTAATAGAAGATTTGATGTTTAAATGATCCCATACTATTTATTTTCTGAAGCCCCAGGTTAACCATTTTTGATGTCCTTTTTGACTTTGTACCATTCTGAGCCTAATTTTTCCACCAGAAGTTAAGTGGTGACTAGTGTGGGTTAGAAACAAGGAAGCATTGCTCTGTTTTCTTTTCCCTTTTCTACATGTGTTCTGTGAAATAATGGGTGCTCGACAAACTTTACATATAAATCCAAACTTTGCATTATACTTCAGTCTGCATCGCATGTGGCGTTTGCCCTTTTGTTGTTATCCTTGGAAGGTACGTGACGTTCTTGGCTGCCTTGCTTACCCTTTCTTCTCGTTGTTTTCAAAGCATCAACAACAGGTGGCGCAGGCTGTCGAACGTGCCAAACAGGTGACCATGGCAGAGTTGAATGCCATCATCGGGGTACGTGGCCTACCAGGTCTACCTCCTACAGTGTGTATAACCAGCTTTCATTTCTTATTAATTTGATGGCTTAATCTCTGTATATAAAATATTTGGGTAGCTTAACACTGACCTATTTGATAAGGGTGGGAGGGGGTATTCAGGTATGCTGAGCTGTGCTGGGAAAGAGAGATTAGCATAAGGGAAGTGATAGGAGAAACCGTTTTAGGAGGAGAAGAAAAATCAGTCTACTTTTTAATGGGAAAATAAATATCCTTGAGCCTGTGACACTTACTTAAGCCACTTTTGCTCCAGTAGTCAGATAAAAAAAAACTTTAGGTTAGAGTTTTAAACTCTTCCTTATTCTGTCCTATAACTTTAGATCACAGTGAAGTCAAGGCACATCTCATAATGACCATTTCATTTAGTTTCTTTGCTTTTGCCTTTTGCTTTCCTAGGGTATTGGGACCTTTCTAACTGCTTGGTCTTCCTCTTGTGCCTCTTCCATGAAGTTTTAAGTGACACCCCAATGAAAAAAACTCTCTCTTGCTGTTGAAGAAGTGATAATTGTCTGTCCTTCTGCCCTCTAGCCTTTCACCAGGTTTCAGCTCTCCTGTTTTGAGTTCAGTTAGTGCTCCTCGCTGGCAACTGGTTGTCAGTCACAAGTTATTTGCTCTGCATTAATGAGCCTGGTGAACCCTGCGGTCCATCCCCTGCGTGAGTTTATCTGCCCCCCATCCCCAACCCCCTTCAGGGTCCAGGATGGCTCTCAGATTTTCTGCCCTTCTAGACCAAGTGAAAGAAGTAGCTGGAACAAGGGACCATCCTTTCTGATTTTATTCATAAGTGAGTGCCTTGAGCAGATTCAAATCACTCATTTATCAATTTATGTTAATTGCTTGTGAGAAGATGCCCTGCTGGTCTTTATAGTTCCCTCAGACACTTTGTAATGATAATTAGACATGCTGCTGTACGGATTAAGAGTGCCATAGTCCAATGACGGCCACAGACAATGGAACCAGTTAATCCATCAGGGTTTAAAATTACATCCCAACTGGAGATGGGGAAAAAACATAAGAGCCAAGGAGGATTAAAGAATGAGCCTCAGCTTGAAAACTCTCCTTTCATCAGTTTCTCAATTGCAGATCTGCAGTCGGGTTGCCTGTGGTAAGCTATTGGCAGTCAATTAGGTGAAATAAACTGGGAGGGTGACCTTCATTTCCTTTTAATAGCTTTTTCCTCCCTGAAATGGGGAGCTTCAGTGGATTTTCAGCTTAAATTTTATTCAAGCTGCTTTATTACACTTGACAGCTTAGCTCTGCATAAACAATTCTTCCCTTCTCCTCCCCCCGAGTCCAGGCTCTGCATTTCTCCCCCTTTAGTATCACATTTTTGACTGTTACTTAGTGGGCTCTCTAATCACATTCAACAAAAAACACAATTACATCTGCATTTGTCTGCTGCCTTCTGTACCCTTTTCTTGTGTAATGAATTGCTTTATTTCAGAGATCAAATCAAATATTCACTGGTACTTTTGCATGTACCGTGTTTGATTAGCAAAGACTAATAGCAAATTGTACTTGTAGCTCAAGCACAGAATTTTTTAACCCTAATGAATGAGGATGGAAAAGCCTGTTTTGATTAAAAGAAAACATATGCAAAGCAGGTCTCAAGTACCCAGTTAAACTTTGTGGAACACATTTGTTTTCTGATAGGCTCTAAATTTTTACATATCATTTCTTGATGGTAAAACTTGTATTTTTAAATTCTCAAAGGCACTGCCCAGTACAACACATCAGAAAGGGGAAAATTGTATCAACCAAATGTTTATAGGTAATACTCATTTTGAGCCAAATCAGAAAATAAAAATAGGTTGTTTTAGAAGGGCAGATGAACCGCTAATTTTATGAATGGCTTTAGTCCAGGAAACATGTTGTTGAGATTAGAAAGGCAGATTAGCTCTGCTAGCTAGCAACAATAACGCAAATCAGCGCATTGGGCCCAGCACAGGACTAAACGCCAATTGCATGTCTTCAGCCTGTGTGGTTTTTATCATTGTAATTTTTGAATCAGTGTATTATAATTGTAATTTTTTGAATCGGTATATTAATTTATGTCAGCAGGCTCTTTTAAAGTTTGTAGTGATCAATAATTACCCCGAACCATAAGTTTCATGCTCTGGCATATGCTTGATTTTTGCTTGAAAGGAATTGCATGCGTCCTGGAAAATCGAAGTAGCATAAAATTGGGTTGACAATTCAGTAGACCTTTGACCTCCTTCATTGAACATGCAGTGTGTCAACCTGTCTCCCCAGAGGGGAGGAGGCTCCGGGAGGCTGTCTGTTCCTACAAGCAGCAGCTGCGCGCAGAGTAAATGCAGCCCGGTTTGATAGCAGCTGTCAGTATTGTTCAGGGACCGACTTAGGGGGAAAGAACAATGGGAGAGGCCACGCTCTTAGTCTGCATCGACTTTCAGGCTAAGAAAAGAAATAGTAATTTAACGGTTTAGACATCTATTACAAGTGTGAAAAGATCATGAAAGAGTACCCTTTAAAATGCAAATGAGCCGAAACATTCTCATTCCCTTTAAGGTACAATCAAGGAGCTCACTGCTTGCTTGACAGGGCTAACGATATTTCTCTTTAGCAAACCAGGAGAAAGTTAAATATTCTCAAGGACACCAAGCTTCTAGGCAAACTCAGCTTGTGTCCCAGGACTGCGGATGCTCTTTTAGGAGAAGAGGATATATTTTTTCCATTCTTGTTGAGTGAATTAATGGTGCCCATTTCTCACTAGCATAGAAAACTTGTTCTTCTGTCTGATAGAAAAACTGAATTTTAAAATCTTTTCCACCACGGCACCTGCCTTCAACTTTAAATTACTGGCATGTAAGATTCTTAGATAGTTGAAATTTGGAGAAATTATTGAAATGGTTTTGTTAAACATTTTTTTTCCTTTTTTTTTTATTGCTTAAAGTATTACAAAGAGTTGTTAAACATTTTTAATAGCTTTCACTGATAGCAAAATTGATAATTTGCAGAATAGTAACTGCTGCTCTACTTTTTGAATTTTGCTTTTCATAAGCTCCTTTGCTATTAAACATGTTACATTCTTATAACAATAGAAAGAATATTTAATAATACAGAGATCTTAAAAGACACAGGGTTTATTTGTTTTGACACACAGCTCACTTGTGCTTTAGAAACAAGTTCATTGTGCAAAGGGAACTTAACTCATTTGAGACCTTGATTTTTGTTTTTTGATTTTTTTTTTTTTATAGTCTACAATTTAAGCAGCATCCCTCAAAGATTTTCTTTGAAACTTTGGAATTGTGTTAAAAATGCATAAAATAAAACAGATTCGTAAAATGCTGAAACACTTGTTTGTGGGACAGTTAATGGCTACCTGAAGGCAGAGAAAAACCAAGGACTCTTCAAGATAATTCCCCGCTGTCTTGGGGAGTTTGGAACAAAGACACTAATAATTAATTTTAGTTGAATTTGGGATTCCAAATAACTAGTGTTACTTTTAAGCTAGGTTATATGACAT